GGCCTCGCCCTGCTCTGCACACGCTCTGCATCTCTCTCTCTCTCTCATTCAGATCATCAGCTCAGTGAATACGTATTTTCACATACTATAGTTATGAGAAGCGTTATACATGGACACGCGTGTGGTTGCCGAAATATATTAAAGCTTTAATCAGAATAAAACCGTATATTATAGACTGCACCCTATAAACACAATCAAGCCTATAAAAAAAACAGTCAACCACCCCTTTAGTTAGAAACGTCTTGATCGATTTGTTTATCATAAACACACAGCTTTTCAGTCATGTGGGTTACTTGTGGATTATTGTGTTGCATTTATCTGCTGTTTGGACTCTCATTCTGACGGCACCCATTTACTGCAGAGGATCCATTGGTGAGCAAGTGATGTAATGATATATTTCTCAAAATCTGTTCACATTTTTGTCTACATCTTGAATGGCCTGAGGATTTGTACATTTTCAGCACATTTTCATTTTTGGACGAACTATACCCTAAAATTTAAACCAAACGTCTTCAAGTACAAACACACACAGTTAAATCAAATTATGCTGTTTGTGATGCTTGTTCTGGTCTTTCCTAGATGGTCCCCATTCAGATCCGTCCCTAGTTCAAGCCACTGGACCCAATCAGATGGTCAACCGTATACAGAATCCTGCTGGTATGGCACACTCCCTAAATGGTCTGTAGTTGAATTTTTTTTTTAAATGTCTATTTTTGTCGTTTGCCTTTTTTGTAACATTTTTGCAACTCTTGTGCAGGCATGAATCAGTTTGCCCAGGTGGGGATGCAACAGCCAATGGGACAAAGGGCAACGCTGCCCCTGCCAATGGGAGCAAACCTCAATCAGGTAACATCACTTGTGACCTGAAGAGGGACAACTAATTTAACTGATTTAAGTGTTTATTTAAGCCTTTATTGTGTATTTTTAGATGGGTATGCAGGGTACACCTCGAATGACTCAACCCAACGTACCCCAGCTACAAAACCAGTACATGCAGAACCAGTTTCCAGGCACGGGTGCCGGACTGGGCCAGGGTGCAGTTGGCCTGAACCAACCTGCAGGGCAGGGAGCCATGTCACAGGTCAGCTATTAAACCACATTCATACCACATTACACAGCACAGCTTGTTGTCTCTAATGCATCTAATATGATTTGTCTTTTGGTGGCTAAAAGAGTGAAAGAGATTTTCTATCGTGTTCTATTGTGAAAGACAATATGAATGACTAATGCACAATTTTAGGAAAAAGTACTGTTTAGAGAGATTCAAGCATAACATTTAGCATAATTTAGTTCATTGTTAGATATGTATCTTGGTCTGTTTGTGTATGTGTTTTAGCAGCTGAGTGATTTGTTAGTGTTACTTGATTGTGCTCATAAACGTTAATAAAAATGTATGTTAAGTAATACTTGATGTAAATGAGAATGGGTGATTTAGCCCATCATTTATATTGGAAGAAATTTGTATACACTACCTTTCAAATGTTTGGGATGAGTGACAGTTTAAAAAAACAAACATATTTATACTTTTATTTAACAAGAACATGTTAAATTGACCACAAGTGACAGTAGACATTTATAGGGTTACAAAAGATTTCCATTTAAAACATTGTTCTTTTAAACTTTCTTTTCATTAAAAAAAATCTTTAAAAAAATGTATCATGGTGTGCACAAAAATATTAATCAGCTATTAAAGTTAAAAACTTAAAAAAAAAACTTTAAATATAAACATTATATTAAAAGAAATATAAAAAAATTAGTAACTAGAGGTCTGCATTCCCACGGCTCTCCTGCGGGAACCACGGGACTTGACCAGATTTTTTGCGCCACGGGATTAAATTCCCGAATAAAACGCGGTAGTGGTCGGTAACTAGTGTAATTTGACTGGGAGCGGGCGGTCTAACAATATCCCGTTCCCGACGTCCATTCAGAACAGGTACAGCCTGCACTCGGACTGTTATGGCGCTTTTCCACTGCATGGTGCGGCACGATACGGCTCGGTACGGCTCGGTACGGTTCACTTCTGGCGCTTTTCCACTGCGTGGTACGGCTCGGCATGGCACGGCTTGGTTCGGCTCGGTTTGCGTTTCCACTGCAGTTCAGTACCGCTTTAGAGTGGGCGGGATTATTCACATGTCATTATAGTTGCGCCGCCTCTATTGCTGCGACTCCTAAAAAACTTTTTCATTCCGCGTCGCCCCATCAAGCTCTTGCTGGATCCGCTCCTCTGCTATCAACGAGAGGAACGTCTGTACTTCCTCAACAGGGGGAACAGCCACTTTTTGGTTGTTAAAAAAAGGTGCGCTCGTTCAAAACAGTTGCGTTCGATCCTTCGCTGGCTGTGCTGATTTAAATCTAGCGGTTCTTTTGTGTTTGTGTCGCAAGTTCAGTGACGCAGGTAGTGACGATTCTCTCCGGCCAATCCGTGATCAGCAGAGTTTACACGTCACGTTTTGGTAACGGTACGGTTCCTTGGAACCCCAACCGAAGTGGTACTAAAAAAAGTACCAGGTACCAGGTACTGTACCCAGTGGAAACCCCCCCAAAAGTGAAC